GTTCTCATCTGGATGCGGACATTCTTTGAAAAATCTTCATTCAAAATTTTAACAAAAAACACATTATTGTTCATTTTTAAAAAAAAAAACAAAAACCCCTAAAAATGCAAAGAACAAAAAAGACTTTATGTGTTGGAACTAAAGCTTCCTTGGTAAGGAACCTTTTACCCCTAAAATAGGACTTAATTCCCCACTTGAATTTAGATTAGTCAGGTCCTAGATCATGTGCCATATACTCACCAAAGATTGAGCGGCAGTAAGTATTCATTTATCCTAATTAGAGGTCTCGTGTTCAGTCCTATGGCTGGAGTTGTTATCTTTGGTAGAGAGTGATTTATCCCCCAAAGTGAGACTTTCTGATACAAATATGAACTAAACGAATCCTAAAGTAGACTTTACAACACACATCAAGATTAGACGGGTTCTAAAGTGAAATTTTTCGATGCGATCTGGATTAGTTGGGTCCTAAAGTGAATTTTTTTTTATGTAAAATCTGAATTAATCATGCCTCAAAAGAGGTATCTAACACCATGAGAAAGAGATTGTTTGTTTTTTTTTGTACAAAAATGAGAAAAACATTAAAATTAAGGAAATTCATCCCCTTATGTTAAAGTTATTAATGAATAATCAAGAACAGACTGATTCATTTATAAAAATGTATCTACATGATAGATGAATCATCCAAATAAATTATATTTGAATCATTTTAGTAATTCAATAAAAAAAAATTGAATAGCAAAATCAAAAGTACAGATCTTTCACTAAATATCAATGGATATATAAAGAACAAAAGAAAAAAACAATACTTGAAATCAATAAAAATTTAACATAAATTAATGCACAAATAACACATATAGAAAATAAATTACTATATCGCTAATGAATTTTAATTTTATCATTCATGCATTTTATGAAAATAACATCATCTCTTTGAACAAACAAACAAAAAAAGATTGAACATATATGAAGGATTAAATTCTTTTTAAAAAAAAAAAATTGTTCTTACGCTTCAAGTCTTTGAATTTGTTCCATAGTGTGTCTATGACACTGTCTTTGCCTTTTTGATTTCTTTTGGGAATTCGATGATTCTCCAACGTGTTCTTCCCCAGAATCTGTCATTTTTCTTTGCTAATTTTTTGTTAAAACAAATAACAAAAGAAACACAAAAAATCAAGCGTTAAACTATTTGATTTATTATTTACACAAACAATTTATATAAGAAACAACTAAAATAAAACAAAGAGAAAATAAATATATAAGAGAGAGATTTCTACACACCTTTTGATTGATGAATAGAGATAGAGAGAAAGAAATGTAAGTGGTCTATTTATATAGTAGAAAATACATTGACTTAACATGTGACTAACACATAGAATCTGAATTGTAAAAAATTAGGGGGGAATTCTAAAGAATACAAAGTGTGAACACAAAATAAGAATTGTAATGTATTTTGTTTTTCTCTCACAAAATATTTGGTTTGAGATTAGTATATTTGGTTTGTTATTTATATATAGTTTATTTAAATTGCACCATAAGTTGTATTTCATAAATAGAAATATAATTATGACTTTTTTCCATCAAAATCACATAATTATCCTTTCTAATAATAAAATCACAATTTTTAACCATTAATACTTAATCTAATTAGTACAAAACTCAACCAAAAGAGGATAGACTTGACTCGACCTCAAAAGAATTAAAGAAAAAAGACATGATATATGTCTCAATTTTGCGATTTAGAATTGATATACATTTGTTATAAAAGTGACTCACATATCCTCCTATTAAATGACTCATTATATATTTTTTGTCTAACGAAAGTGAAAAATTAATTATGATTTATTTATTATTTTTTTCACTGTTTATGTTATCGTTGTTGTTGTATATTTATTTGATTTTTTATTTTAAAAAAAATAAAATCTATGTAGGTATATTTGATCCTTTTGGAAAGTTAAGAAGTATTTTTAATTCTTCTCACACATGAGTTTTTTTTCCTTTTCCCTTCTTTAATTCAATAAATAATTTGGATTTATTATCTTAATGATTAAATTTATTTTTTTACCCATCTTCTTGAAAAATTATTATAGATTCCCTATTTTTCATTGATACGAAAAAAATAACTTACAATGTAATCGCAAAAACAACAGTCTTAAATTTTTTTCTTACATTTTTCTCCTTTATTCATTCACACTTCTTTCTTTTTATTTATCATATTATCACACTAAAAATGAAAAGAAAAAGGGTTTGATATACCCCTCAACTTTGCGATTTAGAGCTGACATACCCTTCATTATAAAAGTGACTCACATATACCCTTACAATTACAAATGACCCAGATATATCCTTTTTGTCTAATGAAAGTGAAAAAATAATTTTGAAAATAAATTTCATGTAGGTATATTTGACAGTTTTGCAAAGTTAAAGGGCATATTTAATTCTTTTCACACATGAAAATTATTTTTGGCCATCTTTATTTAAACGGATAATTTGAATTTATTTTCTTGATAATCAAATTTTATTTTGTCACTCATCTTGTAAAATTTATCTTAGATGCCCCTTTTTTTTGCAGACACAAAAAATAAATTACAATATAATCACAAAATAGTCTTAAATTTTTTATTTTTTTCTTTTTCCATTAACCCTTCTTTCTTTTTATTTCACATATTTTCACACTAAAATTGAAATAAAAAGTGAATAAAAATAAGAAAAGATAAATAAATTTTTAAAGGAGATATTTAAAACACAAATTAACATTTTTGGTAATTTCATTAGGAAGTTCTTTATAGGAAAAGAATTCAATAGTTTCCCTTAATTTTTTTTAGCTAATATGGTAATTGATTTCTTCGCTTTTTTTATTTGGCTCTCAATACATAGAATCAACAAATATGGTTAGTTCCTAAATATTTCATATTTGAATATTGGGAAAATGACAAATTTGTGTTTGACTATTTAATTATTTTTAAAAAAAAAATCTACTTTAGTCAAACTTTTGGTCGAATATTATTATTGTCATTAAAAATATCTTTTTCATTTTTTCCTCTTGATATCTGACGGATCCTCCAACCTTAGGGTAGTGTTAAACCATAGTCAACCTTAAGTGCTCTCGCGTTTTCTACTTAAACTATTATCAATTATTTATTGAAATATAATTTAATTATTAATTATTTTATTTTTTTATCTGAACGATGATGGTATTTCATTCGGGAAAAGAAATAATTGATAATTGAGGGACGTTTTGATAAATAGTTGGTAATAGTTCAAATTTTAAAAAGTGAAAATCTAATAATTTAAGTAGAAAACCCGCAAAATGTATTTTTAATTATTAATTCTAATATTTTTTTATGTAGTTTCAAAACATGTAAATTTTATTGCAAAAAGTTGAAGACTCATTGTCCAAATTCACATTGAACATTAGTTAACAAATTAAAACAAGGCATAATACATAAACATACACTCAAATTTAAGGGCTAACCCATCGGTGGCCCCCTAAACTTGGCACGATCTTTCACTTAGACACCTTAATTAGGCTTTGTTCATTTTAGACACCTCATGTCAGGCTCCGTTGTGTCATTTTGACACTTTCAGCTGACATGGCAAAGTGAGTGTTATACACTCGCTATTGACGTGTGAGGGACTTATTTAGTCTATTTTATTTTATTTTTTCTCTTCTTCTTTCCCATTTTATAGTCATTATCTCTCCCATTATTTCTCAAAGCTTAAAGTACTTCAATGGAGGTTAAATTTTTTTGTTATAATAATTTCAATTTCAATTTCGCACTACAAACTCAGATAGACCTAAAAAGAAACAAGAAATCGAACTCATATCAACAACACCCTAAATCATGTAAAGGTCACCCACAATAATCCTAAAATAGGAGCCAAAAAATCTCAATTTTTACTATGTAAATATTAATCTCACTAACCTTGAGCCCTAATTAAACTGCAAATATCACAAAATTAAAGAAAAAGAGACGCAATCTTTAAAATATGAACCATTGTTGTTATACATTTGCACCTTTTAGCCCTAAGGGAGGGTGCAATGAATAGGGAATATGGCAGAAAAAAATCATGAAAAAGAGGAATAAAACGGGAAAGATGGATGCGTGGTTATGGGTGTGACGGAAAAGGTAATGAAAATGAAGGAATATGATAGAGTAGATTGTGTGGGTGTGGGGTTATGTCAGAAAGAATAAAGTTCAAAAATAATTAAAATGGAGTAATACAATGGAGAAGATGAATGGAGAAGATGACTGGGGATGTTGTGGGGGTTGCATTTTTCTTTAAATTTGTCAAATATTTAATTTAATTTTTTGGGATAAAAAGACCATATGTCATTTATTCATTGGTTACTTTGTCATGTATTTTAATTCTTATTTTTCCTCTTTAATATGATAGTCTTTTAATGAGTTGGCATAATATAATTGGGCATCTAATCCACATGGACACGCTTGGTTAACACGCACTTGAAGTGAACATGTGCTAGTGAAAAAAGTGTCAAATTAACATAGTTGAGCGTGACATGAGGTGTCTAAAATGAACAAAGCCTAGTTAAGGTGTCAAAGTGAAAGATCGTGCCAAGTTTAGGGGGCCACCGATGGGTTAGGCCCAAATTTAACTTTGACTCACAAGTCACAAGTAAACACTCCAATTTTGAAAATCCACATCTACGCACCTCAGTTTATAGTCTCAATTGACATTAAACACTCTAGCTCGTCCCTAGTACCCAAATCTGACATGACACATAAATGTTTGAGGAATCTAAATAATCATTTCACAATTTAAAATATTTAACTCATACAATAAAATAAATCAAGGTGTCTATATGTGCATACTCAAAATTAAAATTTCTGCTCGACGGAATTTCCAAGAATGTTGTTGTCAAAAATGAGTATCACATGTGAAGGTTGTTGTTTAGACAAATAAGTAGTTGAAAATTCATGGTACAATATACTTCTACATTAATGTCATATCACTTTGTTTTTATTTCCAATTTGTCAAAACCTCAACCTTTTCAAAGTAATTTTATTTTTTCTCCATTTTGTTACAATTTAAGCTTCTCCCGCCGGCGAAATTTTCTTTATCAAACACCATTACTCTTTATATTACCAGAATTTCCAGTTCTTGATCTCAATTTTTCACTAAAAATGGCTTTTCAAAAGATCAAAGTGGCTAACCCCATAGTTGAAATGGACGGTCAGATTCTTATTTCTCTATCACTATGTGCTTCTTTTTTCCATCTGAGTAGTCTCTGATCTTGAATTTGATGTGTGTAAATAGCTTCTTTAGTTTCAATAGGCTGTTATATCCAACTTTATGTAGTGATTTTAGTTCAAGAATTGATTTTTATGTTGTTTCTTGGTTATGGCTGAATTTGGTGTGTGTAAATAGCTGATTTAGTCTCAATTTGCTGTTATATAAAAATCTATGTAGTGAATTTTGTTCAAGAATTGATTTTATGCTGATTCTTGATTCTGGCTGAATTTGGTGTGTGTAAATAGCTGCTTTAGTTTCAATAGGCTGGTATATCCAAATTTATGTGGTGATGTTATTTCAAGAATTGATTTTTATGCTGATTCTTGATTATGGGTGAGAAGGGTCTGTTCTTAATCACTCAGAAAGAGTATTTATGGATTATTTCATAGAAATATGTGTTTTTTCTTTGTAATTGTGGTGTCTGGGCTAGCTTGTACGCACCTTGACTAATTCCAGCATGGGTTGCAAGGGTGAGGAGAAATCACCTAGTGTTTTTGTGTCCTCTAAAAGTGAAGCTGAGACCTCATGGTTCTCAACTTGCTTCATTGACTAGTGGTTGTAATTTCATAAAAATACGTCCTGCTTCTTTTGCATGTTGATTGATGTGTGTAAATAGCTGCTTCAGTTTCACTAGGCTGTTATATCCTAATTTATGTAGTGATTTTAGTTCAAGAATTTGTTTTTATTTTGTTTCTTAATTCTAGGTGCATTTGGTGTGTGTAGATAGCTGCTTCAGTTACTGTAGGCTGTTATATCCCAATATATGTACTGATTTTAGTTCAAGAATTGATCTTTATGCTGTTCCTTGATTCTGGATGAAAAGGGTCTCGTCTTAACCATTGTAAAAGAGTATCTGTGGAATTTTATTTTATTTCTTTTTGCATTTTTATCTACCAGTCCACTAATATCTGGAGGCTGTAATTTCATAAAAATATGCATTTTTTTATAACCGTGATGTCAAGACCAACTTGCGTGCACCTCCCTCTTGCATAGGTATCGGATAACTCTATGTTCATATGGGAAGAAATCACCTAGTGTTCTTGCTTCCGCTAGAAACTGAACTGAGGCCTCACGGTTCCTAACTCACTTCATTGACCTCTAGGCTGTAATTTGATATTTCACTTTATCGTAAAAAAACTTCAAATTCTTTGTCCATGTATTTGTCATTCATGCTTTATAATTACTAGTTTTGAACAAAACATATATATTTGCAATTTTTTCCACCTGTGCCTTTTTTCATTATACCTCATGCTTTATTTGCACTTAAAGTCCCAATGGACCTTAGAGCTTTTTTACGCTTTTGATGACACTGGGTTTACATCACGAGGGTCAAGGACCTGTTTCTTTACATACCAACATCTCTCCATGCTTTGATAATGTGGGGGTTTCCTAAGGTGTTACATACACCTCCTTTAGGGGCTCAACGTCCTTGCTTAAGTTTTCCTCACTATTCTTTAAGGTCAGAGGCCGAAGCACCTCTGGTACCATATGTAACAGCTAAATTCACTAGTAAGTTCATCTCCAAAAATTGTAGTTATTGCCGTACTCAAGGAGCAGGGTGAGATGATAATCAACCTTCAAAGTATGATAAAAGTTCACATTACATCATTATATATATGATAAATTAGTTTGGTCCACTGCATTACTCGTTGGTTCCTCTTAACTGTCAAGGAATGTATATTTTCATTTTCTGATGTTTATTTACCTGGCTATGTAATGCAGGAGATGAAATGACCCGTGTCATTTGGAAATTAATTAAGGATAAGGTAACAAGTTGTTTTGCCTTATGTATATGTCAGTAGAATATCCTGTCTCTATACTCTCGTGTTCATTTCACAGTTGCTTACATTTGAATTCTCTTTTAAGCTTTAGCTCATCTTGCCTTTTCTGGAGTTGGATATAAAATACTTCGATCTTGGCCTTCCTCACCGTGATGCCACAGATGATAAGGTTACAATTGAAAGCGCTGAGGCTACTTTGAAGTATGTATCCACTTCTTTCTATCTCTAAGTTTCTGCTTAATGAAAGAGCGATTGTTTTAGGACCAAGCTCATATATTGACTTTCTCTAATCTTTCCATCGATTACTGAATGTTTGATCTTTATAAATCCAGCCTTATTATGTTTTGAACTGAAAAATTGCAGGTATAATGTAGCTATTAAGTGTGCAACCATCACTCCAGGTGCTTACATTTTTCCGTGTGGTTTATTTGAGTTTATTAACCTGCTGGTCCTGGATTAATGATGCTATTCATAGTACAACGGATAGACCATCAAATTTAAGTGTCATATTTGACATCTATTCGTTAATCTTTAAAATTTACGTGTTTAGAACCTACATTAAGGAACTATATGCGACAATTTGATTGAAGAAAGTTTGAGAAAATCATAAGTTCCTTAAAGTATAAAATCCCGCAAATAGATAATATAAGATGTTGAAACTAGATTAAAGTTGTACGTTAATGCATTTGCAGATGAGGCCCGTATGGAAGAGTTTAACTTGAAGCATATGTGGAAGAGCCCAAATGGGACAATTAGGAACATTCTGAATGGTGAGTCTCCTTCTCTACCAGTTTTGGTGGGTGATACCTTTGTATGAAATTGAAGATATCCATTATTATTGGCTATTTTCTTGCAGGTACGGTGTTCAGGGAACCAATCCTCTGCAAAAACATCCCCCGACTTGTTCCAGGTATGTTTTATTTGCTGAAGTTCTAGCTGTGTTATTTGTTCACTTGATTCTCTCTGACTTACATAGATATAACTCACATCAGGTTGGTCAAAACCGATATGCATTGGCAGACATGCTTTTGGTGATCAATATCGAGCTACTGATACAGTGATTCAAGGAGCTGGAAAACTCAAATTAGTATTTGGTAAAGTTTTGCCCATCTGTATCAGTATAATTGCATGAACCTGTATGATTCCGAAACTCTGCTAAGATATTTTTTCTCTACTCTAGTTTGTCTATGAGTATATTGGTTTCAGTTCGTTTACTACTTTTTTTTAGTGATTTTGTTTTGAAAATGTTGCTGAGATATTGTATTGAACATGATTGCAGTACCAGAAGGGACAGATGAAAAGACCGAGTTCGAGGTTTACAACTTCACTGGTGCTGGTGGAGTAGCTCTATCCATGTACAACACGGATGAGGTTTGAGTATACCTAAAACCTATGTTGTTCTGTCTCTCCAAAATTGTTGTCTTGCCTGTGTCAGATCCTCCAAAAATTCACTACTTTTGGAGGATCCCACATGCACAGTCCGAGTAACATAGCTTAAAACAGATAATTAGAATGCCTGGAGTTATGCATCTTTGCTATTTTTTTCTTTCGGTGCAGTCTATTTGCTCTTTTGCTGAAGCTTCTATGAACATGGCATACCAAAAGAAATGGCCACTCTATCTTAGCACAAAAAATACCATCCTTAAGAAATACGACGGAAGGTATGGCTAGCGTTGATCTTATTCTATATTTTTCTGCACACTCATCTTTTAAATTGGATTGTTCCTTTACCTTGTTACCTCTATTTGCATGTCTTCACGACCCCTTCTATTTTGGGGTTTGTCTTCTTACTTTTATGATCTTTTTCTGAAGATTCAAGGATATATTCCAGGAAGTTTACGAGTCAAAATGGAAGTCAAAGTTTGAAGAAGCTGGAATCTGGTAAGCACCCGACTTTTCATTTCCAATAACTGATTCTTGTTAATGATTGTAAATGATGGAGATTGCTAAATGCTTGAATTCATCAAAATAGGTACGAACATCGCCTCATCGATGATATGGTTGCTTATGCTTTAAAAAGTGATGGTGGTTATGTATGGGCATGTAAAAACTATGATGGAGATGTACAGAGTGATTTCTTAGCACAAGGTATGATTGGCCTGCTTGCTAACGGTTTATAAATATATCTAGAATACATTTTGGACTTTCAATATGAAAAAGTTTACTTGTTCAATTTTCACTTTTGCTACCAATTTTAATGCTCGTAATCATTCTTATATTGTTTATTGCTTGAATAGGATTTGGATCGCTTGGATTGATGACATCGATCCTGGTATGTTCTTTATTTGCTTCCATTTTCCCCTGCTGCTTTCAGTTCCTTTATTGTTGAGTCCTTTATCTTGTGATTTCATATGATTAATTGAGAAATCCTTGCTTAGATGCAGAAGGTCTTAAGTTTTCTAGAAAATAAGACTTATCGTTCATTGGATCATTTTGGCTTCATTGCTGATTTGCGACTTTATTTTGGGTTCAAATGGGGTTGGAATATTTGGTGCAGATATGTCCGGATGGAAAGACCGTGGAAGCAGAAGCAGCCCATGGAACTGTTACACGCCACTACAGGGTTCATCAGAAAGGAGGTGAAACCAGCACAAATAGCATTGCCTCGATTTTTGCTTGGACTCGTGGACTTGCACATAGGTAGGACATTCTGGTACCTAATTTGCTCTGCTTAGCGCCCCCAGGACTTTGATCACGTGATGTGTGGATTAGGCACACGCCATGGATTCAGACCATTGCCACAGGCAGGTCCATTGTCTATCGAGTTTCAGATTGTGCACCGCTAATACTCAAGGATGCACTTAGATTTTTAATGATAGAAGTACCGAACAAATAATCATTATTTTTAACAGGGCAAAGTTGGACAACAATGCTGCACTATTAGATTTCACCAAGAAACTAGAAGCAGCTTGCATCGGTGCAGTGGAAAACGGAAAAATGACCAAAGATCTAGCACTTATTATCCATGGATCCAAGTGAGCTCCCTACTTTTATCTCATGCATCGTATTTCATTGTTCTGAAGTTAACCCTTTGTGTTGTCGTCATTAAACTTTGCGTGTTATTGACACCTTACAGGGTCGCTAGACGTCAATATGTAAACACTGAAGAGTTCATTGATGCTGTGGCTGATGAGCTGAAAGCTAGACTTCTAAAAGCAAAGATATAAGTGTACGTTTTTCTGATCGAAAACTTTATCGTCTCAAGCAACATAGCTTTCCAGAACTTGATTTTCAGCCCTTATAACTTTAAAAGACTTCTGATCAACCCCACCCCCTACAACCATATATTATTCCCTTCATTCATTAAATTGTTTTCATATCACTGTTATGCTGCTTTATAATCATCATTTCTTTTAATCGAATTTATACCTCTAGACAGCGTGTCTAGCGGCCTTTTGTTATAATCATTATAGTTCTTTCTTTGACTCTTCTTTTTATCTGTTCTTTCCAGATAGGTTTCTGCTTAGAGGAGAAAGACATTTTGCCAGAACTTTGAGGATTGATTCATATAGACGATCTGTACTTGTTTGAGATTAAGGTGTCGTTGTTGTTGTATTATGGCTCTAGTGCATCATTATTCACTAATCCACCCTTAACCCTGGATTAGTGTGTTCTTGTTCCCCTCATCGATCCATGTGGAAAATAAAATTTTAATTTTCAGTTGATTTTAATGATCTTGATGCATAGTAAAATTAGTGTGTAATGTTTCATATTTGCCATTTGTATCTTGCATGTCATTAGTAATTAGTAAATTGTCCTAAGTGGTTCCTAGGTAAGTCGATTTAAGTTGTACCAACAACAACGATAATATATTCCGTGAAATTCTATAAGTAGAGTTTGGGGAGGAGAGTGTGTTGCAACTTTACTAATTACTCCTACTTTGCATAGGCTATTTCAAATAGATCTCTGACTGAAGTATAACATTATCCAAATCATTAAAAAAAATATAGTAGTGAAGAAATCATATAGAAAATAATGGAGAAAAGAAGCGCAACAAGAACAAATACTACGATAAACGAAGTAGAGGAAAAAACATGTAAAAATAAAATACAGTAATAAGATATGCATTAGGAGTGTACTAATAATATTACTAATAAGAGGGATTTGGCAACACTCGACTATCTATTTGCTTTCCACCTTGATTTTCGACCTCCATATCCTTCTATATAAAGTTATGTCCTCGGTAACACCTCTATCCAATCCTTCTTTCATCAATCTCTACCTCTCTTAGGATCCACTATAGTTAACCTCTTATATGACTTCCTCACTAGGGCATCTCGTATCTTTTTTTCACATAGCTAAATTATCTCAGTCTTGCCTTCCTCATTTTATCTACCAAGTGCGAAGACCACTCCCACCTTGTCACGAGTACCAAAATTAGTTAATAGGAATACAATAGAATTTGGTACAAGTAAAGGAAAAAAATAAAAGAAATCTCTAAAATTCTCTCTTATTTTCTTTCCTTGAAAAGATTCTTCAAGTAAGAAAACCATGTGTGCCAATTGGTTTAAATCGTTTGTTTGTCTCCAAAAATACAAAAATTGCCAGTAACATGGACACGTGAATGCTATATATTTTGCATTAGGTATCTGAAAATCCTTAGTCCGACTAATCTGAATTTACGTTGAGTAAGAGTAGAAACGCTTCTAACTAAAAGGTATTTTTTTGGAAAAAAAAAAGTTATGATATTTCGAAAATTATAATATATATGGTCCTATTGATTCAATGAACTAAAATTAAAGATCTTTAGTTAAGGATGAAAAAAACCACCATTAACCCTTTTTGGTGGCAAGTGTTGTACTCGTCAATGAAGAGCTCAACTTAAATACAACAACGATCGAAGTGGTAGATCGATATGACTATTTCATTCTTAACCAGAGGATTACATTCAAGAAAAAAAAAAACTGAAAGGTCATTTTCTTATTTTCTTTCCTTTAAAAAGATTCAAGGAAAAAAAAACATGGGTGCGATTGGTTTTAATTGTTTGTTTGTCTAAAAGAAATGGCCGGTAACATGGACACACATGGATGCTAGATTTTTTTCATTAGGTAACCGATATTTTTTAATTTGATTAATTTGAATTCACATCAAGTAAAAAATATACTCTTAATTTATTATCTGCCCTCTTTTGGTGGTAAGTGTTGAACTCATCAATGAAGAACTCAACTTCACTACAACAACCACCAAGAGTTGCGGTGAGTCGATATGATTATTTCATCCTTGAGCAAAGATCTCTAACTCTAATGATGAGGAAAAAAACTTAATAGAAAATATTTTCTTCTTTAAAAATCTATACACAAGGCGAATTTGAATTAATCAGATAAAATTGTCAATGAATTCTATAAATTAAGAAAGAAATCACATTTAAGAATATATTTTTTGTTTTTTGTTTTTATATATTTAAGAAATATAATTCAAAATTAGTGAAATGTAATGTCCAAACAAAGAAGGAAAGTGTCAATTGTTGCCACTTGCCATCAATTTTTCATCATGTCTGGCCTACTCCATTATTTACTCCTTTTATTTTTCTTTCCTTTCGCATTTCCAATTAAGTCAAAAGAAAAAAAACTTCAAATATTTTTGTAATAAAACTTCTAGAACTTTCCAAATGGAACAAATTAACATCACAAATATAGTAAATTAACGGATTCCAAATACTCCTAATTATATAAATATTTTTCATATTGTCAGAACACAAATATTCATAATTTGTTAAAAACATCATTAAAATTATAAAAATAAATTCAAGTCATACATATAATAGAAGTTCTCAAACTTAGAAGAGAAGATATTTTTGTTATCGTTAGAATATATGATAACGTAGATCGTGATCAACATCAATAGAAAGGACGAAAGGTTGTTTTCAAAATCTATATCAGAATTGTAATATCTATATTGTGTGGGGAAGATTCTTTTCTAAATGTTGAAGTTGGCTTGTGGAAATTTCTAAGCTTGTAGTAAGGTTCACTTGTTCAAACTTGACTTCTAATACAAAATTTTATCACTTTTTATATAGTTATTTGGTATTTGATAATTATTTTTTTAATTAATTCAAATTCACATCATGTAATAAATTAGTTGAGAAAAACACTTTCTATTAAGGATTTTGCTATTTACATACTTGAACTTGACACTTCTGATTAAACGGTAGAGTGATATATACACTCTCTAATTGTCATTGCTCAATCACTTTTAATTCTCTTATAATCATTTGATAATATTCTCGAAAATGGTTCGATTAATTTAGATTCGGCCTACATAAGACTTGTTAGAGAAAATTCTGCTTTCACACAAAAAAAATTCATCTATATGTCCAGAAGTTACTTACCTAAATAATTTATATGCGCATTATCTAAAATTTATTTTCTTAAAATTATTTTTTAATAAGAGTTTTACATTTTATGTTCAAACTCGACGCGTCTAATTAAAGACTAGAGAATTTACGGTGGTCACTTTCAATATTAAATCATCCACGTTATTCATTGCATCATCACATGCTACTTTTCGACTTTGTTTTTAAATTACCTTTTCTAATGTCCTTTTTTTATTATTTATATTGAAATTTCATAAATATTTTTGATCAATCATGTGTGAACACGTACATACGTGTATAGGTGTAATGATGTAGAAAGAAGACAAAAACAAAAAACATTTCAAAGTCGAACTTTAAATTATAAAATTTTCTCAATAGTCAATATTATGCCAAAATATAACAAAAATAAGAAGCTTGCTACTCCCTCCCATCCATTTTACTCCCATTTCTATGTAGAAAAACTAGTAAAAATGGCCCGTGCCAACATTATATTTATATACAAAATATTAGGATAAAATTATGCATAATTATAAATTCTATATACTATTGTTATTCTAATTAATAAATCTCAATCATCTAAAATTATAATATAGTAGAAGAGGATGTTTTTTCATCACAATAAATTATTTTCGAAGTGTAAGGAGTCTATCGACTTTTTTATTTTATTTTATATGATATTTTTTTAATTTTTCTAAAATTTATTATTTATATTTAATCATAATTGATTTTAAAGATCATATTTATCAATTATGAACATCTTGAAAATAAAAAACCAGTATAACTATCTCCGATCCACCTTTATTTCATTCTATATTTGGAGAGTAAAATAAAGAATGATTTCTTCATTCATTCTCTATTTCACTCTCTATTCATTATTTGTAGAGCTGATTGAAGAATTACTATTCGTACTCTCTATTTTACTTTTAAATTATTTTATATTTATAATTAACATATCATAAATCATATAAGACCATTTATTAAGTTTTTATATTCGTAACTTTTTTAATGTAATATAACACTTCAAAAAAATTATTATTTAATATATACATTTTCAATCTGAATTAATAATACTTCATTTAAAAAAAATTTAGATCCAATTCCAAACTCATCAATGGACATTTCATAAATAAAATGGCTAAAGTGTTTTATTAGAAAAATAAATAAGGCAAAAGTTGAGGGAACACTGACTGACACAACTCCACAAGTGTAGTTCAATGGGTCCCAATCACATTTAATGATATTTCAGTGGATGGCATCAATTGTAATTTAACAGAAAATGATGGATGTTTTATGGACCTGTTGATGTGGTCTAAAGAATAAAGCAGAAAATACAATTCCTTTTAAGCAAATTGATCTAGGAAAATACTATTATACCCTTAAACTTTCTTCTAATGTCACCAAGCTGACATGTTGAAATTCTCTCTTCTAATATATAGATAGAAATTTATCTAAAATATCACGTATAATTTTGGATAAATTCGTTTCTTATTATATACATCATAATAACAGTATTTTGATCAATTTTATTTTGTAATGATCTCGTTACACCCATCTCACTAATTTTGGAAGCCACACCTTAGTGTGCAATTATTACAATTTTTTTGTCATTAGAAATTTGGCACTGTCTCCTTCAATCAAGGCATCAACACAGCTATTAGTCCTCCACTATTGACCAAAGTAGATATAAATCAATTTTCAACTTATTAATATTATCTTTATGTACATCTACTTTTCTTATATCATGGGCAAAAAAGTCTACTTATTTTTCTTAAACTAAAACAATAGTTGTCTAGTTCTCTTCCATTTTTAAGATGCTTTTTTTGAGTTAAGAGGGAAAAAAATAGGAAAAGCATACAACAAGACACTACCACAACATAAAC